ACTCCAGTTCCAGGGGATCTGATATCCTCTTCTGGTGTCCACAGGCATTGTACCCATGGGTGCACTTACATACATGCAGGCAAAACACTCATACACATAAAAAATTAGCCAAGTGTGGTCTCACCTTTAAACGTAGGACTCAGAAGATAGTGGCAGGAGGATCTGTGAGATCAAGACCAGCCTGGTCTATATAGCAAGTTCCAGGCTAGCTGGGACTACAGAGAGACTCTCAAAAACTAAAAAAAAAAAAAAAAAAAAAAAAAAAAAAAATTTAAAAACATTTTAGCCGGGCGTGGTGGCGCACGCCTTTAATCCCAGTACTAGGGAGGCAGAGGTGGGTGGATCTCTGTGAGTTCAAGGCCAGCCTGGTCTCCATTAGAAAATCCAGGCCAGCTGTGGCTACAGGGAGACCTTGTCTCAAAAAGACCAAAAAAAAAAAAAAATTTCTTAAAAATCTGCTTCTTAAACACTATGTGGCTGGTGGATTTCTGCTTCAGATGCTGGAGCCAGGGCTTTTCCTGCAAAACTCTTACATAGTAGGCGATAAATTATATTTATAGTCAAAATATAAAACAGAGATTAAAAGTCTCTTTAAAAATGGTCTCTGGGTATAAAGAGATGCAGATGAGAAGATCCTAAGACAACACAGAAGGTGCTCCAATTTCTAAACTAATTAACAATATACACATATATAAATCCTCACCTTTCCAACTTATAAGCTTTTAAAGTAACTTTGCTCATTACAAAACGATAATAATAGTATCTACTTTTGAAGAACTAAAAAGCAATTCCCTTTTGGGATTCTTCCCTGAACACAGCATTGGCAATGTCAAAACTTCACAAAGAGTTTCAAACGCTAAGGCACTGGCTACTGCACACTTGGAGCAAAGTTAAGGGGCTCTTTTTTGATTTTCCCTCACACTGATGTATCCAACACTGCTACCAACTCAATATTCCTAAAGCCCTAATTTCACTTCACTTCCCCATCCCAAAAATCTTTAATGGCATCAAGATGAGGTTTTCCTCAGGTTAACATAATCTGACCCTACTCTACCTGTACTCAGTGAAAATTAGATTGTTCAAATGTGAATCCTGAAGCCACTTAGTAGTTGTGTGACCCTTCTATATAATTCCTCAGTTTTCTTCTCTGAAATGGTACTAAATTCCCCATTATCTGGGTGTCCTTACAAGGTGGAAGTCTGTTTAAAGCACTCCCTTACCACACAGCCCTTGGTCAGGAGCTGTATCATGTAAGTCTTAGGCATTATACTCACTTCTCCAACAAACTGCCTACTTCCCTGGGCTGCTGTCCTCTATGACTTCTAAACATCCAATGTCCCCCAGTTGGCATCTGCTGATGATGTTGCCACCCATGAAGCACCACTCCTCCTCTACTATCATCACCCTCTATAAGGAGAGGATGCTAATATTTTTGCTGTATATTCAACGTGCTAGGCTCGAAATACAGGAAAAACGAACAGTTCCAACCCTCAGAGCTCACAATCTAATGAAAGACAGCCAGAGGAAGAAGCAGAATAATACATTACAGTTACGAAGGAAAGCCCTTCCTGGAGGCTGTAGAGATGCTTGCTTACACTGACTCCTGAGAGCTGGGCAGGTGAATTACACAGAGTAGGGGCACGTAGAGTAAGAGCACTTGGTACTACAGCAGCCAGGGACTGAGGTGACATGCTAGAACACCCACAGAGGCCAAGGACAGGCAGAATGAGTAGAGGATGACAGGTGCTCTACCACGTGGTAATGAGGCCTTTGCGTTTCATTCTTTAGGCAACAGGCAAACAGGCAGCCATTAAATGGTGTTAAGTAGAGTATTATCTTTTCCAGCCTAGAAGGGCTACATTGTGCTGTCCAATATGGATGGAATCCTCACTTAAAAGTGGCTAGACTGACTGAGGAACTAAAACTAAAATCTAATTAATTTTAAAACCAATGCAATTCAGTTGCTAAAAAATTAGTATGTATGTTTGGAACAATTAGGGTATGTGACTTTTTTTTTGTTTTTGAGATATGGTCTCATATAGCCCAGGCTGCCCTCCCACGTGCTGAGATTATATACATTCCCCACCACCTCAGACACTGACTATGTTTTTTGAAGGTTAGGTTTAAAGAACTCTAAATACAAAACAATGTAGTCAAAATTTTAACACCCAAATTTGAATGAGATAGAAGTATAAAATAACAGATTCTGAAAGCTTAGTTCAAACAGTAAAATATTTCATTAATAATCTTTAATCACACCAAGCATGGAAGCACATGTCTTTTGCCCTGGCACTGGGAAGGCAGAGGCAGGCAGAGCTTGGTGAATTGGAGGCCAGCCTGGGCTATGTAGTGAGATCCAGGCCAGTCAGAGCTACATACTGAGAGCCTGTCCCCAACCTGCCCCCCCCAAAATCTTTAATCACATGTTGAAGTCAAGTATATATCTGTTATCTCAGTATTAAGGAGGCTGAGGCATGACTGCCAAGTTTAAGGCTAGTCTGGGCTACACTGCAAATACCAAGCCAGCAAGAACTACATAATGAGATTCCCATCTTGAAAAAAATCACATCTTGCAGTAATATTTTGAAAAACTTAAAGGAGACATTGAAACCAATTTCACTTCTTTTTCTGTAGCTATTGAAAAATGTAAAATGATGGTGCCTATAATTACAGCACTCAGAAGGCGGGGTAGGAGAATCAGAAGCTCAAGGCCAGAGTGGAATACATGAGAATCTATGTCAAAAAAAAGGTAAAATGAGATGGAGTCCAGACTGTATTTCTGCTAGATTGTCCTGAGCAAACAGATCCAAGGACAAAAGATAGAAACTGGAGAAAGAAACTATCCCTTCCCTAAGTATCTAGATAGGAGAGATGGGGCCAAATTATCTAAATTCCGCTCATCTTCAAAACCTATCACATCCCAAAGTTTATCACCTGTAGCACTCACTCTTCACTTATGATCACCTGTCATTCCTACTTAATTCTGAGGTGATTTGCTACTCAAGTTAGACTACCAGCACATTGTCTAAGGGTCATACTTTAGACATCTTTAATTTTTCTACACTGTGATGCATTTTCAATATTCTTTTGGGTTTTTAAAACTATTTTATTTATTATTTTATGTGTATGAGAGTATTGCCTGCATGCATGTAAGTGCATCCAGTCATGCAATGTCCACGGAGGTCAGGAGAGGGCGTTGGATCCCCTGGAACTGGTGGTTGTTAGTTGCCATGTGAATGCTGGGAATCAAATCCAGGTCCTCTCCAAGAGCAATCAGTGCTCTTAACCAATGAGCCATCTCTCTAGCCCTACTCTTGTTTATTAAACTCTTACATTTATTTACTTCGTGAGCCTGTGCTTATGTGTGTGGGTGCATGCACATGAAGGTCAGAGGACAAACTGCAGGAGTTGGTCTTCTCCTTTTACCACACTGGCTCCAGGGATCAAACTCAGGTCCATGAGACTTGGCCACACGTGCCCTTACCCATTGAGCCATCTTGCTGGCCCTCACAATTGTTACCCAACAGAAATGCACAGTACAAACACATCATCACACAAACATCTGGAGACACCTATGTGGCCAGCTTTACCTTTCCACAGCAGGAAGTACTGAGAACTACTTTTCCTTCAGTTGCCTTAAACACTTAAAGTAGTAATGCCTAATTAGTAAGCAAAGTGCTGTTGGGTTGTCTTGGATACTGTCAAAGGAAAAAAAGTCAATATGGCTAAGCAATTAAGAATTTTCACAAATTCCACTGAAAAGCAATAAATTTCTGGTCATTTCTGACCTTCACTACCAGAGATAACCTTTGCCACCATGTATTAAAAGCTTCCATCTAAGGGAAAAGTATACAACTTTAAATTTTGAAAATTAACTCCTAAATCAATCTCCTAAAAACCCATTTTCCAGACAGGAAATTTTTACCATTAAATCTACACCTTCCCATTTTCCCATGCAAATTAAAGTGAAGGAAAAACCTTTTCTGGGAAAGTGTTAAGAAGTAGTCTACATATATTTATTGCACCATCAATAATAAAGTATTTCATCTAAAGTACCACTTAAATTTTCTCGGCTACCCTTAAATACAAAAACAAATACCCATACTACTGGCCAGCTTTTACCACCACGCAACTGAGAAGCCACTAGTTAAAAGGGGACACAGGATCAATAGTGCTTATCCTATGGGAACTTGACATTTCTCTGACATTCAAATCAAGTTATTGACATATATTACAACATCATAACTGCTCTCTCTAGCATTTGTGTAATGGCTACAAAGTTGATACAACAAAGTGCAGTTAAGTTTCCATCTCCCAACAGGCAATCAAAGATGGAGTCTGGACAGTTCCCATGGAAAACAGGCAGCTCCGTTCTAAAAGGCAGAATGAGAAGTGAGGGAAACCTGTCAAGACCCCTGTTCGAAACCAAGGAGTTCAAAAGAAACACTCATTTCCTTTGGCACGGTGGGAAAATCCCGGTTGCTCACAGAAAGCCGAGTAAAGTTTGGTTTGGCTGATTTCACCTTGTTTTCCTTCCAACATCAGCATCAGGCCGGAGGACTTTTCTTCCCCTGGCATTTCTCAGGGCGCACTCCCCCGCAGAGCCGCGCGTCCCGGGCGCCGCGCTCCGGCCTCCCCCGCCCGGCTCCTGCAGACCTACCCCGTTGCCCTCGGGCCGGCGGCAGGGTCGGGTCCAGCAGCCAGCACGGACAATGAAGCTCGCCCCCGCGCAGGCCCACTCCGGAGCTCGAGAGGGCCATTTCCCTTTTCCTGCCCAGATGCTGCCCGCCCGCTGCCCCGCGGGTTGCTCGCCACCTGCACAGCCCGTGACCCCCGACCGAGCTGCAGAGCGGCGCGCGGGCCCACAGGGGTTCCCGGGGTCCTAGCGACGCAGGCCGCGAGGTCTCGGGAGGCCATTCCCCCCAACCCCCTGCGGTGACGGCGCCTGCCTCGACCTCCCTCCCCTCCCCCTGCGGCAGGAGCCCTCGGCCCACACTCACCCTTTCACCACAAAGAAGGGGTCCTCCATGGACATGACGCCCCGGCCGGCCGCCCGCGCCCTCCCAGCGGCCTTCTGCGGCCAGCGCCTCGCCTGGGGCACCCGGAGCAGCGGTGCGCGGGCCCGGTGGCCGACAGCCGCCACTCCAGCACTCGGTCAGCGCCCAGCCGAATCTAGACTCAGAGCCGGGCCCCCGCAACAGCCTCCTCCCACAGTGGCTCCCGGCGCGTCGGCGCCTGACTCCGCCCCTAGCCCCCGGAAGCGACCAATCACGAACGAGGCCCGCAGCTCCACTTCCGCACTCGAGACCACGTGACCCGAGACCCCCCCCAGCCCCGACGAGGGGCGGGGCCTGGGGCTGCGTCACTCGACCCGAGGGGCGGGGCTCTGACTGGTGGGAAGTCTCCGGCCTCCCCTGGGAGGAGGCAGTGGGTTTTTAAGAAAACAGTAGGTGTATCTGATTTGCATAATCCTTTTACCTTTCCTCTACTTTTAATACTTGGTTTTAACTTCTGGTGACTTACAAATCCATCCCAACATTTTCACATAATCTAATCATGACAAAGCTACAGGACTCTTGTGCTGAGGTCATGCACTGAGCTAAAGGCTATATA